CACTTCTTCATGCCACACTCACGGAATCCATTTCTTTTATCGTTATAGCCATTTTCTTTTTTCACATGCTCGGGCAGCTTATTTCAATGAAATAATACCTTTTCCCTAAAAGTGGAATATAGTTGCCATGTTTCATCAGACGCATAGCAAATCCTGTATTAATTTCGATACTGGGTCCGGTTTCGCATCAAGTTATAACCGTGCTTTCGGCAATTGTTAACACACATTTCGGATATGCGGGTGGTGTAATAGATCGCGGGTCGGAACATAAACTCCGAAAGCCGTGTTCGAATTACATTTGAGCTCGTTGCATTTACTTTATCACAAATAACCTTGAGAAATGTATGAATGTATTTGTTTCCACCTCAGCATCGGGTTACATATCAGAACTTGTCTTTGACAAAATCATAGTTGTCTCCAAAAGAAAATGTTGCTAATGCAATATTCAGTTGTAAAAACGATTCTTCTTACAATTCAAAAATATGTTTTGGTTTTAAACATCGTTTTAAGTGGTTAATAAGGCGTTTAAAAAAAGAAATCAACCAATCAACATGTTTCACGTCTGCAACAATGAAAAAAAATAAAGGAAGTTTTAATTCTGATCAGCGGATAGTTAAAAATATTTCAAATTTGCACTCGATTCACCGGTTTGAGCTCGTTAGAAATTCAACTGCCTTTTTATGATTTTTGATTAAATTGCTTGGGACATTCAGCCATAGTTAAGTATGGTACATCAGCATTTTTGCCAAATATTTTGCAGAATATCTTCTTTAATAGGTACCCTAAACTTCTTAGCCACCAGTTTGGTTTACAAGAACAATTCAGATTAAACTTTTACTTTAACTTGATTACCCCACCATCCACAATTTTTAAAACTACTCGCAACTCCTATTTCGTAACTTTTTTTCGTTTCTTCCCTCGGAATACACTCATGACTCACTAAGGTTGTGTAACACGCGGTGTGGCGCAGTTGTAGCTAAGTTGCCGTGGGTGTCAGACGTCAGAGGATATGCATTTTCGGAAACCCGAGCTGATTAACGCAGGGTTTAAATACTTTGCAAAAGAAAACGCCCTCAAACCAAGTCAAAACATTTGTTTTCCTACGCAGCCAGTCTAGTTATATTTAATGGTTCGTCTCAAAGGTTGAAAAAAGACATCGAGTATTCAATGGAGAGACATTTTATCCTGTCTTAATAAAGAGACACACGTCACACTTTCCTTCCCCCAAGGAAAAATAAATCTACTTCCAACTAAAAAGCCATTTTCTACTGAAGAGAGTAATTATACACAATTTGCTGTTTCTTCGTTTACCTGCCTCTGCCAAATATACACCAGCCTATAAAAAAAATTGCCTTATACTTCAAATTAAATTGTTGAGATAGATTTTTTTGTAGACATTTTTAAAGTGAGACAAACAATTTGGAATTTCATGAGGCTATGTAAATTTAATTCAGAAATAAGTTAATTTGATTTCTTAATTATATACATGGTAAGTTCTATAGATTTCAGATAAATGACTCTTTAATTTAGCACAGAAAGCAGTAGAACGAGTGATAAAAGAATTTTTCTTTGCAGCCTCTCCAAACTGATTTCATTCAATTTTTATCAACGTCTTCGTTGCAAAGTTTGTAATCTACTTCATTGGAAATATAACAAGAAATAAAAAAAAGAAAAGAAAAAGTAACAAAGATTTGAGTTGAATAAACCATCTTTTTTGATTTTCAACACAATTTGGTTATTTAAGGAAGTCCGCACACAAAAGACTAATTACCTTGTTGTGTTCAGTTACTAAATATCGAAGTACTTACGTTGAAAAAGATGATGAATACAATTCATAATATCTCTGCTTCTCGCCAGTGAAAGTCTAATCTTAGCTCAGTGTAATTCCTTGTCTGAGAGAAATTAAGGCGTATTTAGACGATGATAAAACATCCAATTCTTTTGTGGGTACATTGGAAAAATCCGAGGAGGCATGCGTTGGCCATTGTGCTGCGAACTACCTGAAATTATTAGAATTTCAAGTAGTTCTTTATAATGTTTCCGTATCTACATTATTAGATATAAAATATTGACCATTACTAAAACTGATGACTTACTTTAATTTTTATCTACAAAATGGATAAATTGTAACAAGTCTAACCAACCTAATACAAGGAATAACTCAGCAGGTTTATTTTTAGGTTACTGATCACTTGTGATCATACAGATATATATTTTAGAATGAAAAAATAGAATACTTTGTGATCTAAAGGATATTATTTTAGTATCATGAAAAGAGTAGGTTATTCTCATTGCTCACTGGGAACACCCTCGCATTTTTTCATGGTCAGAAATTATTTCGACCATGAGAATCCGCTTTGGACCTCACCATGCACGATTTGTCAAAGCGGTAACTTCTTAATATTATCGGCCTGGTAAGACAATTCTATCGTAAGGCGTACTTTTGAAGTATCCTGCAAACCATATCAGGGATTGATCGAAGTATGGCGAGTGAAGTCGGGTAGACGAGAAGGATGTGCTAGCACGAAGTCACTAGCCATCGTGACCGAGGAATTCAGCGTACTGATGTTGTCCAACTATTGATCACACCATGTGACCTCTTCCAAATAAATATCTTTTCATCAGTGAGCTACAAATTTATTATTGTAGCTCATTGAGTTCATCTCCATGGAAAGAGATAATAAAAATAAATAAATATTTTTCTCATTTATACTATTTACATTTTTTAGACTGTTGTCCTAATTTTCGTTGCCATATTCTCGGGGTTTCGGCCGTTGTACGCTCCGACCTTCTTCAGGTGATTGGAATTTCGAACTGAACCTTCAAGGATACATAGCCGAGTGGATAAAAGCGTTGTTTGAATCCAGTGATTTGAACCAAAGAGTTGTGAGTTCAATATCTGGCTACATCTGAGGTAAAGAAAAGCTTGGAGAGTCGAGTTAAAGGGAGATAACTGATACTAAGACATCCAGAAGAGGCATGGCACGTGGAACTAGAAAAATCTACCCCGGTGGACTAAATAAAGGGTTCAGTTCAAAATTCCAATCACACGAAGAAGGCTGGAACGTACAACGGCCGAAACGTTTTGAATATGGCAATGAAGATGAGGACAACAGCTCAAACAATGTAAATAATGTAAATAATTACAATACCTCATCTTAGAAATAGAGACAAATAGTTTTTTTTTTATCAGAAATACTATAGATTTATTGTTTTACCTATATCTTTCCCGCCTATTTGGAATCCTCTTCTGCAATTCCAGTCTGATCCTTCCAACTATCGGCCTATTAACCTTCTACCTCTTTTTGGCAAAGGACTAGAGGCTCTAATTAACTTGGAATTCGTCATACATCGCACATCACATGTTCTTCTTTCAGATAAGCAATATGGCTTTCGCTTCTCTAGCTCAACTGCTGATATTTTAACGATTATTGCTGAAAGAGTTGATGAAGGTTTACATGTAAATGGTAAAGTTTGGGCTGTTGCTTTGAATATCTTGAAGGCATTTGACGTCAAATCGCGAAATGAACGGCCACTCTTGTAGATCTTTCTGGAGTAATGTCAACGGCTCTATCCGTAGATCTACGCTGTTCCTAATTTTCATATATGACCTTCCTGATGGCATCAGTTTTCAATTCTGTATGTATGCTGATGACACAACTATTTACTCTTGTTTTAAGAGTAAGTATGATCAGTTCGATAAGGTCAAATTAGCAGCTAATCTCAAAAATGATCTACAATCTGTTGTTAACCGGAGTAAGGAATGACTTGTTAATTTAAACGCTTTCAAAACGAAAACGCTCTCAATAAATCATCTGTAAACCCCTTTCTGATATTACTCAGCATGGCTTAGCCTTCTAAAGTGCGACTCGTTGCGCCTTCGCGAGCTAACATTTTCTGCTGACCGGAAGCTGAAAGATTATATTGAATCATTTATTAGGTATACGCCTAGGAAAGTTTATTTCACTATGCATGCTTGACAATCTTTCTTTCCGGAATATATATTCCATATTTATAAGTCTACTGTTCTGCCATGCTTTGAATATTGGTGTCACATTTGGTCGGGCGTTCTTTCTATATATTTAGAGATTCTTGATAAAATCCAAAGAAGAACTTGCAAAGTTTTTCATCCTGGCCGGGCATCTCGGCTTCAGTCAGTTTCCCATCGTCGTAATGTATCTTCTCCCTGCCTTTTTTCATAATATTTTTTCATCTTTTTTTCATATTTTTTCATATTTTTTTCATATTTTTTCATAATATTTCTACCTGCCTTTTTTCATAATTCTATTGTAATTGTTCTAACCAAATTTCCGCTAAGGTACCTAGACTTTATGGATTGAATTTGTGGCAAGTTCTCATCGATTTACAGTCGGAATGGCTAGATGTAACCGTAAGTTCTATGCTAACAATCACTTCTATCGCATTTCCGGCTTCTTGCTTCCCAGTCAACTTTGATCTTCAAATGTCTAAATGCAATTCCAATCGTTATATTCTGTCTTCTTGTTCTTTATTGTCCTCTCTCCATAATAGTATTTTTATCATGCTCTCTAACATTAAGTAACCCCCTTGCGTTTTAGTGCGTTTATTGCCTTGCTTCAGGTGTAGTGATATAATATATATATATATATATATATATAATAACCTCCGCCAATCAACTGAATTATATTGTATTCCTCTGCTACATCAGGTTTTTGTTGTTTAAAATGAATGTTTACATTTTTCGAATATATTGATACACTAAAACACGGTTGTGACTAGGCTAGAAGACGGGTTCCTATTCGGAATATGATTATAAATAAATTTACGATTATTTGTTTTTAGCTTATCGAAGCTTGAATTGATGTCAGCCAAAATAATTTATCACCGGCGCATTTAACAAGTTAATTTAAGATCACGACGTACTGTTAACAGGACAGAAAAATTAGTTTCGAACTGTATATCTTGCGGCTTTCAGTCACGTCTTCTAAACCCTGACCCATCACTCCAAAATAAGATCTTACTGTCGGACAGATATCCCAAGAGGCAACACCTTTTGCTTGGTTTCATCATCTCGTCTCGATTCAATTCCAGATTCATCCACATCAATAAGGAACAATTCAATAGATGAAGAAAATGTTGCCATATTAGACGAGGATGGCCAATCAAATAAGCCCAAAGCAGCTTTGTACATCGTCCAGACAAACAAAAATACAGATGGACAAGTCGAGACCACAGAGCTGTTGTGTAAGCGTATTGATTAGTCGACATTCGGACACATTAACGGTGTTTCACTCCCATAGGGAAGAGACAGAAAATGAAATAAAAGAGGAGTGAGTTTTCTATAATTATCGCATATGCATAACCTGACAGAATTAATAAACATTTGCGGTCATGAATATCCTGCATCCAAATTGTCAGACATTTTAACATCGATGATTCAGTCGAACTCCTCACAAGCCATTGATTTACTAATCGGAACCATTCTAGTTAAAATCAGAGAGAGACGTTGTTGTTTTGCAATCTTTGTGCAAAGAGTTATTAACTGTACTCACAATATTATTACTCAGACATGAATAACAAGACGAAAATGGAAAACAAAATTGTCGGTTGCGGAAATACAGGGAATGATCAGACTATAAACCATATAAGTAACTGCACTAAATTGGCTCACATAGATACGACAAAGTAGGAACAATCATATATAATTAATTGTACAAATGACTTCGTCAAGACCATGTAAGCAAATACCATCACCACAAACAAGAGGCTGTCTTCCTTTTTTATTTATGAGTTTACGGCCCTTTCACGTTCAAAGGTTCTTTTCTGATCACTGAAGTTAAGCAAAGTCCAGACTGTTCATTATCTAGATGAGTAACCGCTTGGAAATACCAGGTTTTCTGTACGATCACCAAAGTTAAACAACACCGATACTGTTCAGTACATAGATGGTTGACCGCTTGTGACTATCAGGTGCTGTAAGCTTGGATGTGCGGGAGGTGTAATGGATAATGGTACGCATTTGTTAATCGGAGAGCCGAGTTCAAATTCCAGTTGGGTTCGTTATATTCACTTACGCGCAAATACCCTTGAGAAAAGTATGAATCCACCTTTTTTTTCCCCTCAACTATGGATTATTTAGTGGGACTTGTATCGCTAAACCATTATTATCTCAAAAAAAGATTCTTACGGCCTAAAAATATTTTCTGATTTTAAATAACCTGCAAGGGGTTGATAAGCCGTAGATAATGAATTAGTTAAATTCACTTACGCGCAAATACCCTTGGGAAAGATCTATATCCTCTTCTTCGTCCCTGTCCAGCTAATGTTTAATTAGTAGAACTTGCATCAGTAAAAATGATTATTGTCTCCAGAACATTCTTTTAATTTAGAATATTTTCTGACTTTTAAATAACCTGAAAAAGGTAACAATAAGACAGCTGGTATACCGCGGAAAGAAATGGCAACTTACTACGGAAAAAAACCGTAAAAATAAGACAATATTTTTTTATGTTCCAATTTTTTCAGAACGAGGCCAATTCATGGCCCTCTAAATTTTCCTATCTTTTCTTACTCTAAATAATTCTATTAAGAATCCATCTTCATTCCAACTCTGCTATCCTTTCACTTACATGATTTTCTGATTCCAGTTGTTTCTCTCTTCCGTATATCCTGTGAGTATCTCAGAAATGTTATCTGCCTCGTCCTGATTATAAATAGGATTCATTCTTATTCCTATGTTCATTAATACTTTCATGTTGCTCACATGCTCTGTCAATGGTATTTTTCTCATTTACCAATAAAACGTAGAAGGTTTTTAAAATAGTCACTCATTTAGCAACAATAACAGATCTGGTTGTTAAAACCAAAAGGAAGAATTCTAGCAGTAAAATCGAGGTTGTATAAGAGATGCAAAAGAATGAAAATGAAAGAAAACGAGAAAATATCAGGACCTTGCTGGGGAAGTGAGAAATTTGGCTGAATATTAATAAAGTAATAAATCTAAGATTAAAAAAGAACTTAGTTTGAATTTTAAATTATTTTTTGAATCCCTCTAAGAAAATCGTAACAGCCTATTATGTCTATTACTGCAAGTTTGCTTTCTTTGTTTAACGGCATATCAACTTCTTATGGGTCATTTAACGACGAAATTTTATTTTCTTGGGATCTTTGACGCAATAAAATATAATGTATATTATTCTGCTTTCACAATAAATACATGGTAGATGATACTCAGCTTTTTTGCATATATATGCTTGTGTGAACATAATTACTAGAAGTGGTGATATGTGTGTTTTATATTGTAGTTTTGTTTTTGAAGTTATATTTGGGAATACAGTTTGATTTCTTTAAGAAATTGTAGGATATTATATTTATAATTGTCATGAAAGAGTTCTTTTATGTTCGTTGTTTGGTTGATTTTGTTTAGAAACATATCAAACTCCATGGGTTATTTAATGCCAAAAAATCTAAATATTTCGAACGATTTTATGGCTTCAACTAAATATATTTTGAACGCAACTGTATGCTAGTTGAAGCTACTGATAAATGAATTGTTCATCATTTTGCTATAAAGTATATTGTTAGGAATTTTATTATAAATACGCATTGGTGGTATTTATTTTATATAAAAATGTATTACTGGCATTTTTACTATAAATCTGTATTTTTATACTTTCATAGTGTTTTTTATTGTTGTTGTTGTTGTTTTGGGGTTCACTTTTTGTCATGTTTTTTTTTTTCTCTTTCAGACTTCTACGAATTTCTTTCTGCTAGCTTCAGTTTCGTACTCGAGATATAAACAACGGGATTTTTTAATGGATTTTTATCCGATATTATTTCTTCATATTATAAATGTTATGTTTAGTGGATACACGTGTTTGAGTTGCTTCCCCTGTTTGTTTATTTTTTATTAAACAGTGATGAAGCAAGGTTATTCTGACTTTATTTTTCTTAGAAAGTTTCCACGAAAATAAATGTTTGAGAGAATGGATTTTTCTTTTAATCTAATAAGCGAGAGGCGCGATCATTACGAATATATTGCACGTAAAACCGTAATTTGAAAATTAACGCAATGTGTCGCAAGTGTTATAACTCATAACTAATTATAGCGGATAAATGACTGTGGCTAAATACAGGAGGGTCATATCGATATTTATAATCGAAATGTAACTGCAACCAACTAAATAATTCGACATCTAATATGCATGGTGGAGTAATGGATAGCGGCTCGGATTGAGGAATCGGAGAGCCGAGTTCGAATTCTAGTTAAATCCATTATATTGACTTACGTGCTAATACCCTCGGGAAAGGTATGGATCCTCGTCTTCTTGCCCCAGCCAGAAATATGGGTAAATAGCAAGACAGACCGGCTTCTATAGCTTTGGATGGCAACTGGCCTATCGCAGAAAGAAATGACAACCTACTGCAGGAAAAAAAAACCTGCCTCGTCAGTCATGTATCGAAAGATACATGATCGCCTAAGTGTGTATCACGAATTACGCATAACTTACTGACTGAAAAGAAACAAGTTAAAAGATTGATCTTCTACTTGAAGTGAGAAACACGCTAATATATAGCACGGTGGATTCAGGCTTCGGAGAGCCGAGTTCGAATTCCATTCGAATTTATTATATTCACCTACGTGCTAATACACTTGGGAAAGTTATAAATCCTCTTCTTCTCCCCCCAGCTATGGTTAAATAGCAGAACAGTACGGGTTTTATAGCCTTGGATGGCAACTGATATACCGCGGAAAGAAATGGCAACCTTCTGAGGGGAAAAACATCTGCCTCGTCAGTCATGTATCGAAAGATACATGATCGCCTAAGTGTTTATCACGCATGGCATACAACTGACTGACTGAGAAGAAACAAGTTAAAAGTTTGATCTACATGAAGTGAGAAACACGCTAATATATAGCATGGTGGATTGAGGAATTGGAGAGCCGAGTTCGAATTCCAGTCGAATCCGTGAGATTCACTCACGTGCTAATACCCTCGTCAGTCATGTATCGAAAGATACATGATCGCCTTAGTGTGTATCACACATCGCACATAACTGACTGAATATATAAACCTCAATAATTATGCATGTGTGTGTGACCGAACGGTTAGAACGTTTTCTTTTTGATCATAAGGCACAGCTTTGAATAGCATCGATTTATCAGATAAACTTCTTGTGGGTAATGTCCTGGGGTGGCAATCGGAATGTGAACTTGATGTTATTGGCCGTGGGAGGTGAACTTTTGGAAATTCAGTGAAATTGGGTAGACATAATCACTAGGAAGCCGTCGATGATTGTGCTAGCACGAAGTTACAAGTCATCGTGACCGAGGTTTTTAGCGTACTGTCCTGATGTGTTCTCCCCCAGAATAGTTGCAGTATAAATGACATGTGGGTCGAGCAGGCATTTCGAATAGGGTTACACTGTCAGAGTACTAACCTGCCACTTATTTATTAATAATATTTATCTGTATATCGGCTCGAAACCCATACGCATATTACGTAAACCCATGTGATAAAAGAAGCGCGGTCTTATCATTTATGTCCCATAGCATGTGTATTATATCTGGCCTAGATTAACAGTTCTTATTTATTCAACTTTAAATATCATATTTTAAAAATATACTTATTTTAATAATTTCCAGTTTGGTATTATGTAACCTTTATAGATAAGCGATTTTAGAAGTCGTTATCATTAAATTCCATATCATCTGAATACAACCATTTTCTAAGATCAATGGTTAAAAATAGTAATCCTTTATCAGATTTTTGTGATGTCAGAGATACAACAGTAGTAACGCCGTTGAACAATACTGGTGACGGGCCTTTCGAATAACACTCGCACTAATAGTACTTGCTCGATAAAACTCGTTCGAAAAGTAACCACTGAATACTAATCCGTATAGTGGTCAGTATAGAGACATAGTATCGTGAATAGTACAGAGAATCGCGATCCGTATAGTATCAGAGTATAGAGTAGAAAGAGTGATCTATAGAGTAATAGAGGATAGAATAGAAATGGTGATCCGTATAGTAATAGAAAAGAGAGAGAGTAGAAAGAGTGACCATATACTAATAAAGGATAGAATAGAAATGGTGATCCGTATAGTAACAGAAGATAGATTTGAAATGGCGGTCCGTA